TTCCTGAACAGTTGCAATTCATACAATAACAAGTGTAACAAAATGTTTTCAGATTCTTTTTTTTTTTAGATGAAACTGAATGTGCTTTTAGCACCACTCAATGGACATTTCATCTTAAAATTTCACCTGTCACGGTGCGCTACTGTGAGTAGCACGGAGACGAAGAAGCGAGGAGACGAGGAGTGGAATTTAAACATATAGATTTTAATCACATCCAGGGAACAAGGAAAACACACGTAGCAAGGGTAGACATATACAGACACGGAACAGAGTCTGACAATTACCTTTTTTTTCATCCCATGACGTTTTTTTTTTCAGCTCCTATACTATACTCTAACTCTATGTCAACAATTGTCTTATTTATTTAAGGAGTTGTCAGTGAAACACAGTTTACAGTTAGAGTAAATAAAAATAAAGGACTCCAATAAGCCCTCTAAGCTACAAAAGAACGACCTCTGAGCAATACAGTTTTCCTTCAGTGTGTTTTTCTTTTGCTGATGCGTGATAAGGGATGAAATGAGCAAATGTGTGTGTGTGTGTGTGTGTGTGTGTGTGTGTGTGTGTGTGTGTGTGTGTTTGTGTGTGTGGATGCACATATGTATGTCAATACCTGTGACAGTACTGGAGCAGGTGTGGTTATGAATGAGGGCCTGTTCTTCGAACATCATCCCCGGCTCAATGATGTGCAGCCTCTGGCCAGCCCTGGATGCCTCCAGTTTTCCCTCTGTTAACACACACACACACACGTCATCTACAGCTCTCAAGGTTGCCGGGAGTGACAGGTGTTGAGCAGCAATGTGAATGTCACATAGTCGATGATCTGACCCATCACAGATTAGGCACGGAGATGCTCAGAGCCCAAACAATCCAGAACATCAGGACAAATACCGGCCTCCTTTAATGAATCACGGCTGGAGTTAGCACAGCTCACAGACAGGTATTGATGAACACTTTAATGGATGGTAATAGACCTCGCTACTGCTTTCCATCCTTTTTTTCTACTTGCAACCTGGGTATTTAGACTTGCACTGACATTTTAAATCTCATTTCGCCTCACATAACCAGCAGGAATGTTTTCTTTCTGTCTTCCTAGAAACAGGTCAGTCTCACACTTCTCCTGCTACCTGCCTGATCCTGCAAACACTATGGGAGGTGCATACTAATTAATGTGCCTCAGTCAGACAGAGGAACAGAGTGAATTATGGCACTTTTCCACTGCGTGGTACGACTCGGCTCGGTACGGCTCAGTACGGCACGGCACGGTTCGGCTCAGCACAGTTTGCGTTTCCACTGCAGTTCAGTACCGCTTTAGAGTGGGTGGGATTATTCACATGTCGTTATAGTTGCGCCGCCTCTACTACCACGACTCCTAAAAAAAACTTGTTTATTCCGCGTCACCCCATCAAGCTCTCGCTGGATCCGCTCCTCTGCTATCAACGAGAGGAACGTCTGTTCTTCCGCAACAGACAACAAAACTTTTTGGTTGTTAAAAAAAAGGTGCGCTCGTTCAAAACAGTTGCGTTCGACCCAAAAGTGAACCGTACCGAGCCGTACCGTGCCGTACCATGCAGTGGAAAAGCGCCATTAGAGTCTGAAGTACACTTGTGATGTTAGTCAAGGTTTCTGGCACCAAGTACATTTTTTATGACTATTTTACACCTCTTTAGCTTTAGAATTAAACAGACTTTTATTTATTTTTTTGGCTACTGTATCTTTAAGAATTCTATGTGAAGTGACCTCTTTGCTGCTTGTTCTTGATTTTAGCTGGACTAAAGCACTGGCAAAGTCTTATTTTTTTTTTAAATGCCATGTCTAACTGAAATTGTACAATTTTTGTAAAGTCAGACTGATATATATAGTATATATATATATATATATATATATGGATAATGAGAATGTAACTTGGCTTCATTCAGCATGTATAAAAACAAACTAAAATGTACATGCATATATAGATACTTATGGAAGCTTGTTTCAGCAACAGGATAAAAAAAAACATACAAATAAAATAAAAAAGGTAACTGCGACTTTTTTATCTCACAATTCAGACTTTTTGTCTCATAATTCAGAATCGCAATTCATAAACTCAGAATTAACTTGCAGTTCTGGGAAGGGAAGATGGAATTGTGAGATAAAAAGTCACAATTATTTTTTTTATTCCATGGCTGAAGAAAAAAATTAAGAAAAACACAATATATACAGTCAATTTAGAATTCAGAGAAAAAAGTCAGACTTGCAAGGAAAAAAAAAGAAGTGTCCTTTGCTCACCATGGCTTCATTTATTTGATCAAAAACAGTAATATTGTGAAATATTATTACAATTTTACAATTTAATCCTATTTTTTTAATTGTTATAAAAATATAAAGTTATTCCTGTGATAGCAAAGCAGTATTTTTGCTGCTGATTTGCTGCTCAAGAGACATTTCTTATTATTATCGATGTTGAAAACTTGTGCTGCTTCATATTTTGTGGAAATCAAGAGATACATTTTTATCAGGATTATTTGATGAAAGTTCAAAACAACAGCATTTATTTGAAATAGAAAGAAAAAGCATTTGCTGTCACTTTTGATCATTTTAGGATAAAAGTAAAAATAAATAAATAAATCTTACTGGCCCCAAGCTTTTGAACTCCTTTAAAAAAATATAAAGAAAGAATGTCTGGGTCTGGAGTTTATTTAAATTTCAGTCTGATTTTGTATTTTATCACACATTGTTTTCTCACAAACAACAGCTTTTGCAGAGAGGCTATTATTGTTAGACAGGGAAGCACAAGTATATCTGAGCTAAACCAAACCCACAACCTGTAAATGCAGTTATTCATTTCGAATGCAAAGAGGATGTTTACATAGAAGTCTTAAAAGCATAGTAGCAAAATTAATATATTATATTATATTATATTATATTATATTATATTGTATTATATTATATTATATTATATTATATTAAGGGGATTTAACTTCACTAATAGTCAGATCGGGCAATGATGATTGTGATTTATATGTAAAGAGAACGTAAAGAGCTGGAGGGCAACTAGAAGCTGAAAGCAAAAGACATACAGCACAAAAACATAAGCACTCATCTCAATGCAAACCAGAGATAGTATAAAGAGCCACAGAAACAAATTATTTACAGTACGCCTGGAGGCATAACTGGACCTCGGCTAATAATGAGTGACTTTTGAGCACTGGGTTATAAGATAACCATGTAAGCACTGGGTTCTGTGAACGTTCAGACATGCTCACAGATCAACATGCAGGATGAGTCCAAAGACAGCTTCTTCCATTCTGAGAGGTATTATGAGGCGAGAGTATCTCTTTCATTCTCACACTCTTGCTCACCTTCAACTATGTATGCCTGGGTCCCATTATCCTCTTCCTGGACAACACTCACACCCTGTTTGAGCGTTATGGGATAGGCAGAATCCACCAAACAGCGCATCTGATCCCTGACTAGATATTTCATACACTCATTTTCTGCTAGAGCCGATTCTATCAGCCGCTGTGACCTGAAAGAAATAAAGACACATCAAGAGTTCCATTGGGGAAATCTAGCAGTATAGGCAACAAGAGAATGAGTTGAGATTTTAGGCAGGTTCTTACTCTTGACTCTTGCTGTGGCTGATTGGTGGGTTTTGTAAGACTAGTTTCAGCTCCAAGGTAACTGGTTCTGTTAGCAGAGCTTTTCTCCTCACTCTCAGGGAAGAAGCAGGTTGTTGACCTAAATGCAAATGAAATGAGCGTAAAGATAAATAATACAATGTTTTTATAAGATTAAAAAAGACTGTGTTGTTACCTCTGAACTCTGTGCAGCTTGCTGATGCATAATGCATAGAAAAATAAAGTCAGATTTGTTTTGCCGTAGATTATTATGGCTGCACTAATGTGTTCTTCTTTCGTCCTTGACTTCATGTCTGCTGGGATTCTGTAGTTTCTCAACATTTAGAATCGTATTTAATTTAAAACTCAATTAATATAAACTTCAAATGGCAGTAAGATTTAAATCTGTGTGCATGTGTGTGGACCCATACAGATCTGATGATCAGACAGATGGCCACAATGCCAAAGAATAATAAGATGTAATTAAAAATGCATACATGTTTGAGTAGATATTTTTATTCTGTAATGGTTTGCTCTGTTTTAGTATTGGACTGTCTTTAAGAAGTGTCTTTAAGAATTAGTGTTTCCTTTAAGAATGTACGAGAGATGGAGCAACACAGTTTTTGACTGGAGTTTATTTGGTTTGTCTAAGAACTTTCAGTTAACAGCTTAAACCTGAATGAAGACCAGAATCAATTATTCCCTTGCGAAAAATAAGTTTATTGAAGTGTGCTGACATCTTCTGTACAGAATTTCCAAAAAACACAAGTGAAGAAGAAACCGAAACAACAGATGCTTCCACATGCTTCCACATCAGACATAAAACAGCAACAAAACTGTGTAACGTTATGGAATAAAATGTCGACCAATGAAGAGGTACTAATGACTGTCAAGCTTTGGGGTGTTGATCGACTTTATCCACGTTTTGATTATCATTCTGAATCCAATTAATAGTAATTTTCCAGCATTTTTTTTTTCAAAATCTTGTTTATTTCTTTATTTTTTATTTATGCAAAGTGTGCTAAATGCTAAAAAAGTATTTAATTAGTAAACTATCAGTATACCTATAAGTTCACTTTTAGTGTAGTTGCACTACGAGCTAAAAAACATTGATGTAAACTAGTTGTGTACTCAAAGTTTACTACTGTTATACTTAAAATATACTTAAAAGTATACTTTTATATACTAGAAAGTGGGCCAATTTAGTCCCAAGTAGTACTGAAATAATACACTTACAAGTATACTACTAGTACACTGATATTTGTATACTTACTACGTAAAGTATACTTAAAAATATACTTGAACTTAACTTAAGTATACTTAATAAAATAAACTTGAAGTATACTACTTTTTGGTAAGGGTTTGCTTGAAAGACTCATGAAGTATTATTGCTACTATAACTAGGGCAACCTGAACTACACTATTTACAGAGATATTTCTATACCTGATTTAATTAGTTTAGTTGGTATAAATTGATGTGCATAGTTTGGTTCAGTGATGTTAATTATTATTTTTGACTTGTATAAAATCAGTTGTTTTAGATGTTACCACTTTTAGCTTACTTTAGTTTCAGCATAGGAACGTCTAAATACATCAACGATACATCAATATGTATCAAAAAATTAGTATCAATATGTATCAATATGTACTGTATAGGGGTTTCAAAGATTTAAGGCAACAGAAGCGACAATGCTGAGCTGACAGAGTTAACAAAGTTCAACAATACGCAAATGCGAAGTGATGCAGCGACCACCAATGCAAAAGGCAGCTGGGGCCCTGCTTACACTTGGAATTAAGATTTTGTTGGTGTTTTTCTCACACCAATCACTAGTGGACGATAAAACGTAGGAGCTTGTCCACTTTCGACTGCTTCCAGAGGTAGTTGAAAACCCACTCGACTGGATTGTTTTCATTCTCAAATTCATTCAAACAACCACAAAAGACTGCCTACTCAATTGATCTGTAATCACTGACGTGTTGTGAGAAAGCACACCAAAAATCAAACTGCTCTACCTTGTACCAAAACACACACTCATTTGCTCGTAATCCGTGTAACATGGGTTCGTTTAGTCAATATTGTTCGTAAAACGCACCATCCATCCTGGAAGAGTCATTTACACTGACAGTCATTTTCAGTGATCACTTATTTTCAAAGAGAGCTGACAACATCCAACTGACAAGCAACAGAGACTTGGTGTTGCAACAAAGTTCTACAGATACGACTACCATACAGATGAGCAACTGACACTTTTGGGGATAGTTCCCTCAAAAATGAAAATTCACCCTCATGCCATTCTAAAACTGTATGCATTGTCTTCTTCTGTGGAACACAAAAGAAGATATTTTGAAGAATAGTGGGAACCAAAAAAAATACAAAAAATTCTAAATTGAGTCAAATCACAGGAAGGGCAGGTAATATTTTGATTAAAAATGATGAGGTCAAAATATAAATAAAATTGTATATATATATACAGTATATGAATTTTTCACAGTGACATGCATTGAGAAAATAAATAAGAAAATAAATAAGTATGATTTCATGCTGACTCACTTGTGCCCTTCAAGTGGAGTCAGAAATACTGTAATTAGGTTACACTTTATTTTAACTTGTCCTTGTTACAGTATGATTATACAATTAAGTACTGAGTAATATAAATTTAAAATATGTACATATAGGGTTTAGGGTTAGTTGCATGTAATACTGCATAATTTACTGTTATTACTATAGTTAGTACATGTACCATGTAACTCTCTAAAATAAAGTAATTAAGTGTAATTTAGTGTAATTAAGTGCTCCGAACACATCAACGAGCAAGCAAAGTCTTATTTAAGGGTGAAACTCACATTCTAGATGATACACAAGTAGCTGAATTGCAATAGGCTATGGAGGAAATGCTGATCTATAATATAGATAATATCATATATCTATATGTATATAGAGATCAGTGAGCGGAAAGCAAGTAACAAATGGGGTTAATCCCTCAACTTTCACAACTTGCTTGACATTTAGTTGTGATAGGCTACTGTGTATAAATAAGAAGTGATAGAAATGAATTCTCATCATTTTAATTCAGATGTAGTTATTTGGGGTTACTGTTGACAATATAATAATTTTGCTTTGTTTATGCTTCTTCCATGTTAGCCTAGTGGAATTTCGCCGGAAACAAGTCCATTGACTATTCTTAATAGGATAGCAATGTATGAAGCATTGCCTGCGCTCTCGATCGAAATGGCTGGATTTGACACAATTGCTGATTAACGTTAGCGACAACTACGTGCGTGACCTCCAGTGATTTATCGCTTCCAAAATAAAAGTTTTTGTTTACATAATATATGTGTGCGTACTGTGTATATTTATTATGTATATATACATACACACACATGCATGTATATATTTTGAAAATATTCACATGTATTTACATGCATATTTATTTATAAATATATTTAATATATAAACAACATGTTTTTCTTAAATATGTACATGAATGTGTGTGTATTTATATATACATAATAAATATACAGAGTACACACACATGTATTCTGTAAACAAAAACTTTTATTTTGGAAGCGATTAATCGCGATTAATCGTTTGACAGCACTAATGT